TATATATACAAATAGGAGAGTTACTGAGGCCATCACCAGCTGAAAAGTTGTGATATGTGCACTGTCAGAGTGGAGATCAACATTGACACGTTGCGTCATTAAGTTCCACCCCCTGTAGAGCTGTATTGTATTTTGGAAGAGCTGARTTGCCAACCCTAGTGTGAATCCAGGTGAAAATTTGAATATGTTTTAGCAATTTTGTTTCAACAGTTGCCGTCCAGTGAGATACTACCTCTTTTTTTTTAGAAACCTTTGAGCTGCCACCAACTTTGCCTTACATTGTCAACCCAAAATAAATGTGAACCAAACTGGCAAAATGAGTCACAATGAGGTTATTATTGTTTTAATACACAGTTGAAATCTGGTGATTTATCACCTGACCTTGTCAACAAGCTACTTTTGTTAACAAGAGTGCTGGTTCTGTGATCGCTCCCACTCATTTTGCCAGCACGGGTCCCAAATATTAAGATAATCCTGCAAAGCAAACGTATGTCCACAACAGTGATTCACTTTGGTTTTGGACGTCATTAATATTTAGATAAAAACAGATATTCTGTTAAGAGAATCTGCCCTCCACCCATTTTCCGACCATTGTTCTTGGAAATGACAAATCTAAATTTAAAAAACAAAACCGCACTACCACTGTTCAGAGATTCGTTTTCCTGCCTGTCTGCAGCTTCCTGTGTCGGCTCGGCTGTTGCTACATGTGGAAGAGTCACGGAGGGCTTCCTCTGCAGAGGGAAAAGGTGATGCTGAAGAATGCAGGGAAAGCAGAGACAAAGGTCCAGGAGGAGTGGAATGTAACGGCTCGACCGATCAGATGGACGTGCAAAACTGAGTGAAAGGTACGAAAGGTCTCACACGGCTACTTCTACTGCTATTTTAAATCACTCGCTGTTAGCGGGGCAAAGGGTAATCCACTAACTGAACATGAGAGGATTTTAATCAAAACGCTGCTGAACGATGGCAGGCAATAGGAATGCTTTTTTAGTTGTTGCAATAAACCCAAGGAGCTTTTCCTTGAGCAGTTTCCAGCAGCTTGACTTGGTCAAATTTTGGTCCTAACAAATGAGACACCTGCACCCCCCATCCCCAGCCAGTTTCTCTTCGCCTCACTTTGACGTGTGCTGACCTGTCGCGCTTTTACAGGATTATCCTAACTTTGCTTTGTGTACCTCAGCACCTCCAAGAAGCACACACCCACCAGAAGATGTACAAGACGGGGACGGAGACTGCAATCAGATTAAAAGGGGACCGGGATGAACGATCAAGGAGAGATGAGGAGACGAGCGTCCCTAAGAATAGAATACAAATGGAGTGAAGGAGAGTGCGGCGGGGAGGTGGGGGCGGCGATGGGGGAACCGAAGACCTGCAGGGACATGAATAAAAGAGGGAGCGAAGACGAGGGAGATCTTTCCCGACAGCAGGACTGTGAATGGAAGTGGCTCGTRTCGTACCGTGAGACCAAGGCCTGTTCGCCACCCTGAACGATGTCTCTTTGAGGAAAAGGAAATGCAATGGGGCTGACACACGTAAAAGTGCACACACAGATTTCAAAAATGAGAAAATCGGCTCACAGTGTGAACTCCCACTGCTCCCACATCGTATTTCACAACCATGTCATCTTACATGACCTCAATTAACCACAAAGGCGTCAAGGCTACTTTCTTCCTCTCTGTAGCCTACTGACCGCTTCAGAGAGACACCTTTAAAATTTCAGCACTTATTAGAGAAAGATTAAACTTATAGCTAGCAGTGTCAGCTCAACCTTGTGAAGAACAAAGAAAATGAAGCAGAAACCAAGTTATTTTGGTGCCCAAATCAAACCCCCAAGACAAAGACATCAAGGTCTCAAATGAGACTCAGAAGAAACTGGGAATGCATAAATGTGGGTCAAACGTGAAAAAAAATAGTGACACTCGTGTCAAATCTATCTCTTTGGCATGACATCATTAGGATTTTTTTCCACAGCCACCGCTCCGACCTCCAACTGACTGCAGAAACACTGGAGCATGGAGCCGAATGATTAAAACTCTGGTTATGCTTGACAAGACGTAAGACATCAGATTTTGCTAATTGTGAGTCTTTTTCACATGGACGCTTCATACTTAAATGGAAACTGTGAGTGAGAAGTCCTGGTATGTCTTCACACTGCATCACACACCTACAGCAACACACACAGAAGGTTGGCAAAGTGGATGTTTTATTTTCCRCTGATGATGAAGAAATATCTGGTATCATTAAAAATAATAGTAATCATAATAATGCATTTTATTTATAAACGCGCCTTTCAGGACACCCAAGGACGCTGGGTTAACTGRGTTATTGTTAACTGAGGAGAAGAGCTAGTTTTGAAATTTGTCACAAAAAGACTGCAGGAACGGGTCCACAYGCTGCCCGGACGATGCAGACTTTCTCCCTGTCAGCTCACCAGCCTGTGTCTCCACGCTGTCGCCTTCRTGCACAAAAATGGTCCAATCTCCTTCCATAAGTTCTCAAACTATCCTTTTAAGTTTTGCTAGACAATTTATGAAGATGGCTGTATTTTTCTAACAGCCTCCCAGTTGTTCTTCRGTGAGCAGAAATGGGAGCAACTCACTGCAGCCACTTTTCACAAACAAACACAAAGTTCTGACCAATCACACAACACTCAGTACATACCATGTAACCAGTGTTAATGCACAAGACAGGCTCTCTGCGGGGCATGAGGATATTAAAATATGCAATGTTTGTGATGCAACCACATCAGTAACACAAGATCTCAATTGTCATTTGTTGTTATTTCTATCAGTAACGTCTGTTTTTCTTTGTCTCTCTTCCAGAGGAAAATCCACCTGGACCAGTCCTCCTGTGTCTGTCTGTGTCTCTCTCCTGTCCCCACAAACACAGCCTGTCTGTCCTGAGCCTGGTYCTGCTGGAGGTTTCTTCCTGTTAAAAGGGAGATTTTCCTCTCCACTGTTGCCAATGTGCTGCTCAGGATGTGAGACTGTGATGAAGAGAAGATTTAACACAATTCGAAGATTGTTTTTGTACAGTGCCCTGAGATGTTGTAGGGCTGCGCGGTATATGCAGTAGATAGACGGTAGAAACGGTATGAAGTTGGCCTACGGTAGAAATTTACCTTCTACCGTCCTGTCGTCAGTTACGTCATCGCACCTGTGTGAACAGGACTGCGAGTGCAGAGACAACTGAGCAGGAGGAGTTTGAAATGTAATGAAAACAAATGAAGAAATATAACGTTTTAAAATGCGTATAGAGAGAATAAATCCTCAGAATTCCCCTCTCCCGCTGTAGAAAAGTTACATCAGGATCATGCATCGCTTCGCGCAGAGCGAAGCATTAACAAACAGTTTTTTCACACCCAATTTGTTGGAGAAAAAACTTGTTTTTATGTATTGTTACCCACAGAGATGATAAAAAAGATGTGGATGTTCGTTCAGTAATAAATCCATCTTGCTAATGTAAAAGTCGGCTTCTGCTCTGATGATGAAGATGATGAAGATGAGAGTGCAGCAGAGCAGCAGCTGATAAGTTCAGCAGGCAGAAGCTCATGGTATGGCAGGCAGATGTTACATTTATTTTGCTTCACCACTTATATTCCAGTAATCTGAAATTGTTTTATGACAGGACAATGTGCAGCTTAAGCCCCTTAAGGCCCTGTCACACTAACATTTTAGTCAACTTATGCCATCTTAGAATTTATTTTATGTCTAAGTACTGGTTATGATATCCACTTTATTTTGATATTGCTGAAAATTTGAGAAATGTTTTTGTTTGTTGTTGAAACCATTTTGCAATAGTTCATTTGAACTACAGCAAAAATGCTGGGTTTGATTATAATTACAGTTTTCTGCTAAATAAATGTTCTAAAAATTACAATATCTTCGCTTTTTATGATAATTTTCTACCGCAATATATACCGTTACCGTGAAGGGATTCAATTTATTCCGTGATATATGATTTGAGGTCATACAGCCCAGCCCTTGTTGTGACTTGGCGCTTTATAAATAAACTGAATTATATTTGTCACGATTAAACCAGGCTTAAGAGTTGTACAAAAAGAGCTTTACATTCCCAAACTTGAGAATCTTCGCAGCAAATGCTTATAG